ATTATATATATATATATATATATATATATATATATATATATATATATATATATATATAATGTTAACAATGGAGTATTATTAATTTTGACTGTTGAGAAATTTCAAAGGACATTGCACTTATGATTTTTGACTTTTGATCTCAAAAGTGAAAATACATTTATACGTTTGTAATCACTAGTTACGTGTACAATTTCTTTCTACTTACTCCAAAATCATGTCATTAAAATAGCATAACAATATTAAAAAGTAAGTGTGATTTTATAAGTGAGATCTATGGACGTAGAGGCGGAGGGGATTCGCTTCTTCGGTAGAAAATATTACTATTTATATGATTAATAATTTTTTAGGTATATAGAGTAGATGTGTTTAGATTTTGAATCTAATTTCTTATCAAAAATTTTAGCTCCGCTACTGTATGGAGAGATGTGTACATAATCTTAATTCTATTTTACATATATTGAAAAATTGTCTTCAATGAATCATCGATTTAAAGGTAGTATGAGAAGAAAATATATGAGTCATCATATTATAAAAATATAGTCTTTCAATTCTACTAGTCATAATCAAGTACCAATTAGATATTTGAATCCGTCTCTTTTATTTGATTGTAATATAAAGTTGTATATTAGTGTTATGTATAAGATACAAATTACATACTTTTTTGGATTCTTTGTAAAATTTGTTGGGTTGAATGATAGTAATTAAAGATAATGATGTTTTTCGTGCGGTGGATAATGATGGCTTGTTGTTTTAGTGATGTCAATTTCAATGTTGTCTACACTCATTTCCAATTATAACATTTGGAATAATCCAATTCATACTACAATTTATAGGCTATGATTTCAAAAATATGTTTTTTTCAAGGTATATATTGATTTAGAGAATAAGATTGAATCGAAAATTATGTAAACTAAATTAAATTGTGAAAAAAAAATTAGTTAGTGATTTTGATATAAAATTTCTTCTAATTTGGTCTTAAATCTGAATCAATTGGACTTATGCGTACATATGAACCCTCTTCGCTCAAAAATAATTTTGGTTTAAAATAACTATTTGTCTTGTGTAATCTAAAAGAACTAAGAGATTTGATTGTGTAGTTCTTTATAAATTTCTTTTTAAGTTTTAATTTTATTCGCAAGAAATTAGTTTTTAACATATAAATTATCTAAATAAAATTATTTTCTTATATTTAATTTATAAGTGTCATTAAGAGATTATTAGTAGAAAGAAATCAATGTAAATGAAGTTAAGAATTTGAAAAGAATTGAGGGAGCAATAAATGACTTCCATCTAACATTTAATTTTATTTTTTTTATTATCTCTCATTTTTTATGAAAATAAATTATTTTAAACCGTCC